ATAGCGACCGATAAAACAGATAGAAGAAGCTTGTATCAAGTCTTCTGTCGTGCTACGTTGTACAATAGGGCATACAATTCTTTTTTCTCTCCAGTTATCTCGGTTGCCTGATGTCTGGGTAATTGGATGCGATTTACTTTGTAAACCGAGGCTATTTTATTTCTGTAGCTTCTTTAATATTCATTCGTTCTTTATTCTTCCAAATTTAATTTGTGCTTTGCTGTCAAATTGATAAAATAGTAAGTAATTAATATAATGGAAAGAGTAATAGTTAAAAGAAATTCTTGTTCTTTCAACTTGCTTCAGCCTCGTTATTCCTGTTTCTTGGCATTAAACTGATAAAATAATTGATGTACTAGTTTGATTAGATAGTTAAATTATTAGATATATAATTCTTCTTCTGAAAATAAAGTAGTGGATGATGTAAGAGATCGACGAGGTCAAACGATGTAAAACGTTATCCAGTATTGGAACTATACCATTAATATTCCGTTATTAAAATTATTAATATGCTATTACTGAAAGTTACATTCTACGTATTAATAAACGAGATTCGTATTTTATGTATCGCAACAACAGTTCATCGATATTCCAAAGCAGCCATATCATGGGCCTCTAATTGAGGCTAAATAAACCGAAATTACTCAACGATAGTAAAAATAGAACGAAAATAACGTTCGTCTATCAAACGAAATTGTAACATCGTAATAATCGAAAGAATACTCCAGTGTTGCGATAGAAGCACAATAAATTTCCATTTAGTGTAAAGATATCTTAATTAGTGCCCGATTAAATAAACTCCCACCGAATATATCTGAACGTCTATCATATCAATAAAAAACCATAGATAGCGAAGAGAATCGTATTATACGAATTGTTTATCCCCCGATCGGCTCATATAAAATATAAATGGAGTTGTGTAAGAGGCATTTTCAATTTAACGTTTAATTGCCTTCGTGGAATCTTGAAGTACCTCGAATGACATAAAAATTGTTATAATTTCGCTTTAAAATAGCAAATGACGTAAAGTTTCGCTAATCTTCGTTTAGATCGAACCCTATAATTGTAAACTATAACTTCAGACTTAAATTTTTATTGTGCTACCTCAGAATCCCAACAGAAAATCAATATCTTTCTATCTCATCGTAACGGTTAAGGATAAAAAGCATAATATACGGTTTCCATTGACACGAAAATCGGGTCTCTGTCAGTCACGCTGACCGGAAATGCCACGTCCTCGACTTCGAAGATTTCGCTTATCAGCCAAATCATCCTCGATATCGTTCGAATCGTCGTTATCATTCAGCCTCGACGAATGAGTCCTCGATTTCGTTTGCCTAAGTCGTACATCGACTTTTGGTCCAACTAGCAATTTTTCTGGTTTTTCGATCTTCGTGAATTTATCATAAAATATTTCTTCCATAATGTTTCAACAATTTCCCATTGGTTTCTATGATAATTTTTAGCAAGCTTTTAGCTCAGAAGCTATAAATAGATCTTAGAAAGAAGAAAAATATCTCGTCAAATAATAAACCGTCAAAGTACCAAAAATTTTACTCAGTTGCGAGATTAGCGATCATTCTACTTAAACGTTGAAATGCATTTTATTCTAAATTGTTCGGTGACTTCAAAAACGTATCAGCTTAGTTTTATGTTTCAATTAGAAAGAAAGAACGTAGGATAAATGTAAGGCAAGGAATGAAGGCAACAGAGATATGGAAGATGCCCAAGAAGGGAAGGAAATTTTCAAGTGCCAAGATAATTGCAAGACAAGCACGTTATTTTTTTTTTTTTACGAAATAAACATTTATTTTAACAAATCAACAGCGTAAAGACTAGCGTCTAGAGACTAGTCCGACATTTGTCTGACCTAGGTAACTAGAGGCCGCCAGGAATATAACGCGCGAAGGGAAATTTCGAACTCTGCCGCGATTTTTACGAAAATTGAGAATCGTTCTTTGTCTCCACCAAAAAAACCCCTCGCTTTTGAAGCAAATATTATTCAAGCGAGATGTGCGTGAAAAATGTCCTCCCTAAACAACGAGTTTGAAGAAAACCCTACTGCCATAATTGACAAGAATTCTGTGACATCGCGTTAATCGCAGTCTTGGTCGAAGATACAATTTGTCGGATACTTTTGTTTCCAAGTAGAAATATTTTTCAGTCGATCGTGCAACAAGATAACGTTATTGTAATAAGGAAGCAGCTTATAGAGTAATTTTTACGCGAACAATCGAAGCGTTCATAGATTGAAAATGAAAATCTATGAGGGATGAAATTTTATTCAAATCAATCATCCTGTCAAATATTACTGAAAGTACTTGGACGTGAGTTTTGATACTTTTAAAGTTCCTTTAAATTCATTTACCAGGAAAGCTTACTTCCGAGATAATTAGATGGAAAAGTTGTGGAATGAGAAATATTTCGAAACTTGGAAGCGCTAAAACTCCTATCGTGGAAAGTATCTTTTTCTTTTATACGTAAATACGTATATCTCTATGATTAATTCTAAAGAAAACGTACGTATACGTGCGTTCGTAGAAGTCGTAGAACTTATAAGAGCAACTTTTGAAATACCAGTTAAGACACGGGATTAACGATGATTATGTCCACGCTACGATTATTTTCTACTACCTTCCAACGTATTCCGCTTCGTGAATATTTCTGAAGTTGTTCTTAAAGTCCACTCATTAAGATAATTTGACGTTTTAATTTAATTTCATATTTAACTTCGGTCGATTCAACCGTTAATTGAATTTAATCTAATTTATCATCCGTTAAAATAATCAACTATCTATCATATTTAACATCTTATATCAAATATCGAAGTAACTCGATATACATATTTAAACCACTATTACATTTCCACGAAAGTTCACACTCTTCAGTTTCTTCGATCTTTCTCGACAATCGTATTTTCGACCAATTCAAACGCCATCGATGATAACATTAAATCTCTAAACGATCGAAAGCTAACAAATCGATTTCGTTCAATTCCGTAAGCATCTAATCAATCTCGAGTGCCAGTGTAGAATTATTAATTAATCAATGAATATCTTCAATTCTCATAAAAACCGGAATTCTAGAGTTTCCCTTGGCAGCTCCCCGCCATAGTTTCACACTTTGTCTTGTCACAATGTTTGTTTCACTCGTTTCGCGTCGCGATAAACGATCGTAACAAATTAGTCATCGCGATTAACTTGCTACCTTATCTTGCTAAGAAAAATTTCTTGCTTTTTTTTCCTTTTTTTTTTTTTTTTGGCTTTTCCCTCGATCTTCTTACGATCTTTCCCAGTATCTTTTGTCTCTTGTCTCGTTATGTACATACGGTGGTTTTATTGAATGCGTTAAGTACAGACCTACGACGCTTCCGCGGCTGTTTTTCTACACGAGACTGTTAGTCGGTTATTTATTTATTAAGTTAGTTATTTTTTATTTTCTGTTTTCTGCTTCTTTTAAGGCCATACTTAAGGAGAGGAGGAGCGTTTCGTTTAAACAACTTTCAAGTGTGTGTGTGTGTGTGCGTGTGTGAGTGAGTGTGTGTGCGAGCGTGTGTGCGTGTGTGTGTGTGTGTGTTTGTGAACGAGTGTGTGTGCGTGTGTGTGTGAGCGTGAAAGAGATTTCGACGATTGTAATACGATGAGTTCTATTAGAGATGCTCGATATTCTTATTTTCCAGCATCTTTTCGACAGTTTGCTTTGTTGTTTTCTTGTTATTGTTTCGATCGTAGAGATTCTTCGTCTGTATGATTCAAGAGATCACTGTGTTCGAACTAGTTTGATGCAGTGGTCCTCGTGAATTTTTTTGAAACAGATAAATATAGGCGAAAAGTTTTCTCTAAAATTTACGCGTACTTTTAGTATAACATCATGTCGAATATACATGTCGAGACTTAATGTTTTGGATGCCGAGTGTAGTATTTTCTTTTTTTTTTTCGTAGTTGAAAATTCGCAAGAATCGCTGCAAAAAATCTAGCGTGAGAGTAAAATGAGTAATCTAAAGGGGGACATCGTTGTTTTTGAAAACACGGAAGTCTCGTTGGAAGAAAACTGAGGAATTCGATAGATCGAATGTTCGGTAAATGTAAATAAATCGCAATTTTTTCTATTTCCAGATCAATTTGGATTTTATCGGTCGATCGTATACTCCGCGCAATTATTTTATTTTCGCTACACAAGAAAAAGAAATTATCGAAGAATCGCTCTATTTTCTGTTCCACAAAGAGAAGAATATTTCATAAAACGAAATGAACAAATAGATATGCCCGAAATGGAGACAATTTTATTCTATTTTCAACTCTCGCTGTGTAGAAATAAAAATAATAAATAGATTATTCTGTGAAATGAAGATAAATTGAAATCTATCGATCAATTGTATTCTTAATTTTTCTTATACGAACCAATAGCGTTAGAGTAAACGAATAGCAGAAAATGATATGAATGATAAATAAATCCTAGAAAATACTCTCTTATGAAATATCGAAACGAGAGAACAGCCTTGAAGTCTCTCATTCTCTTCTGCCCAACATTTCCATATTTTCAAAACACAACAGGAATAATTAATCGTCCCCATTTTTACTTTACATCAGTATATACGCCACATGGCGTGTCTAAATCTAGACTCGCGTCTATAAACTCGAAAGCGAATCGCACGACGATTTCAGCGTTGCGTATCGAGTATAATACCAAACTTGTACATATTATACATATATATATTTATATATATATACTTCATTTTCGAAAGACTATTTAGCGTTGGTGTTACCAAAGAAACTGAAAAAGAAAAAAAGAAAAAAAAAAGAAAGAGATCACCACGTTCACATGTCATGATTTAATCGTCATTTAAACGCAACACGTATCAAGGTCCCTCGAGTTTTTCCCACAAAAAAAAGTCACCCTTTTTATACCTTCAATCTCATTCTCCTTGTTTTTCCTCTTCATCCTTTTTACAGTATACCGGAAGGTTCGAAGTTGCTGCTAAGATATTTTTAGGAATCTTAAGGCCACGATACCAAGTTAATGAGCGATCGTTAAAACGAGTCGTCGCTACAAGGGATACACGCTATTATGGCGTCTAAGAGAAAGAAATCGCGTGATTTTTCTGGTTCACGATCTTTCTCAGCACGCAGAAAGCGACACATCGACGAAGAATCGTCGGTGCTTCAAAAATCTTTCGTTCCTGCTGATCGAAAGCATCTCCCTTCCAATGGACGAATCATTCTTCTCAGGAAGCATTTGAAAAATCAACTACCAAAAAACGTTCCTCCAAGTCTATTCGTTAATACTTTTCATCCGTCAGTCGTGCTACGGAGGAAACGAGGTGTATCGTCGGTTTAAAAAAATAGCTCTTTCTCTCTCTCTCTCTCTCTCTCTCTCTCTCTCTTTCTTACTTTCGCTCTTTCTCTCGCTCTTGCACTCTTTATTTCACTTGTATCACTCTCATGGTCGAATATTCAAAATGGATTCACACGATCACCGAGTATCAAAAGAGAACGCAACCTCGACTGAATCATTCTCGTCGAAAAATGGTAACATCGCTATATCGAAAATCACGCTACTACAACGTCAACTGTACTATATATCATTGTGTCAACGATTCTATCGATTAAACCAACCGAGAAAATACTTGTTTGTCTCCTCTGAGATCGAAGAATTCTACCTAAGTAACGTATTAGGTCGCCTAATAAGTTCGTTCACATTTCTTTCATATTTAGATGTTTTTAACTTCGGTCCAGTCTCATTCTGTTTTAGATATCGATGGATAGTTAATTCTGGAATATTCAAAACGTCAGACTCCTGGGCTGCCTTGTACTAGAATTTCATTCTCAGTTACGATTCTTAAATATGCAGCAATCAAAATGATATCCACCGAATCGTTCTTTACAAGTGCTTTTTCTGGGTTGGCCTTGATCTTATTGAAGGTTGGTCATTGGTCATCTTGATCGTTTATCGTTCTGTATTCGTAAAATAACGTCGTAGAGACGACGAACTTATTGGACGATCTAATTTAGGGTGTCCCGAGAGATTGTCCCATACATTGATCAATGAATCATCAGTCGCATAATTTCATTTCTCTTTCGGTCGTGAATTTGTGTCAAGTAATCCTATTATTCTCTAAATTATCAAACGTCTTGAAGATTCCCTCGCCGTGGCTGGTAGACCAAAAACAGAGAGAAACGCAATTCCAACGATTCAATAAATTATTGCTAAAATCTATCTACCTTATCCCATTAAGAAATTATACAAAGATACAAACGTAAAGCTTCTCTTATTATATCTTGCACAAAGATCCAACAATTTCTCATTTCCCTCGGAAATTATTTAAAAAAAAAAAAAAAAACAAACAAGGGACCAATTTTTGGGACACCCCGTACAACTCCAAAGCATTCGTTTCTGCGTGCGAATGAAAGCATCGGTAGTCAAAACGAGGGGTACTTTCCGTCATGTAATCTGGTCCTGTGGAAGAGAACAAGAGCTGTCAAAACAGCTCGACGTCTCCAGTGTGAGTTCTATTAAAATGTCCATCCTCGAAGGGAGCGAGATCGGCGATCGTCAAAGGGGGAACAAATATTATTTTCGTTTTCGGTTGAAAGGTTGATCGTATCTCCCTAGAATGGGGGCGAAAGATATTAGAGGCACGTCCTCTGTTCAGACCGGAGCGCTAGGTCGACGTAAGAGAGACGAGAACAACGAACGCCGAGGTGGCCGCCGCCATGGCCGACGAAGACGACGCTCGTCGACCGCGAACGATGACGTCTGTTCCTCGACGATCCCCAAAGGTCAAGCTTTCTCTTCCTCCTCGTCTATCTCCTCCGACGATTCGGAGGAAGAAGTGATAAGGGCGGTGGAGAGACTTGGAACCTGGGCCGAGTATGCGAACGAGCTCATTCGGATCCGTTGAGGATTCCAACACTCTGGCAGGGAATGGGATCCGTCCTCCGTACACTTTTCCGATTGCGATTTCTCCATGGAGCACAGCTCCATCATGGATACTCGCCTAGTGGGTCCCTTCTTGCTGTCTGTAACAGGGAAACTGTTTTGAGGGTTTTAAGTTTTTATGACAGAGGATTGTATGTTTATCGCAATTTCAGGTTTTACGTGTAAACTCGTGAATACAGTGAATTCAGAATAGGATAATCAGACGTTTTGAGGTTAGTTTTTCCAAGGATTCGATCTAACGTTCGATGACGTTGGTATAGGATTTATTAATTATTTATAATGGATCAACACGTTGACGCCGCTTCACGGAACAAACTCGTGTGATCCACCGATGGTACACGCCGGCCTCAACGTGTTAAACAGGAAACGATGGTTATTTAACGTGAACTAAATACAGTAATGTGCTTTCACGCGGACCACACTTTCTCGACAACGCGATTCACATTCTCCGACTTCTCAACTCACGCTGACTGTTAATTCGTCTTTCTCCCTTAGCATCCCTTTGTTTTTTTTCATAGCCCTACCACGCACGTGTTCCGCAACCGTTCGTTGCCAGGGTTAGGTAGGCTACTTTTCCGCGCAACTGTTCGATCGGAGGATCGACGATACATCGAAGGGCCTGTCTGCACTTAGGCTTTCTCGCGACATTGTTTATGGATAACCCGATATCTCTTAGGCTTTTGGTCCACGATGCTACATTAGTTATTATCAGGAACGAGAAACGGGTCAGACGAAAGAGAACGAGAAACGAATGGCGATTATGCCAACTATGTTATTGTAGTATCGTGGAAAGAAGAGCCTCTGGTGGCACTCGATAGTAAATACCACCACTTGACACTAAATAGTGTCGGATGACGGTAGCGCGTGGTTAGCGCCTTAGGTTGCAAACGTTCGGGACCCGGGTTCGAATCCCGGCGACCGCAGTCCGATTTTTCTTCCAAAATACAAAAATAGAAGAGAAGCGGCCGTGCCCAATAGCGACATCTACAAAAGCGCCTTAAGCGGTGCGCGAGAAAGACGACGACGACGAAGAGATTTGACGTAATGTGGGGATCATTTAGACGTCAACGGTCCAGGAAATCACGATCTCAATAATCAGGACGGGGGGGG